GGAAAATATTGATTTCTATCAGTGTGAACTGACCACTGCACAGAATATGAAGAATATCAAGTCAGCTGTCCACGGCAGTCCTTAAGATACCAGCACAATAACACACTCAGCAAAATATCGTTTAATTATCGTTATCGATAAAATCCCAGAAAATATTGAGATATTATTTTTTGTTAATATCGCATACCCCTACTCTACGTAGCTGTAAATATATAGCCAGTGTGTAAGTTTGCCAAATAGCCTAAAAGAAATGCAGTAAATGTAGTGCAGCAGAGTCCAGAAACACCTTCCTCGCATGTCTAGCCAGATGTTCCTAAATCTACACGCTGTCTGAATGAGCAGGGCTCCTCTGACATCTGCTTTCTTTTAATAGACCATGACTATGTTTGACGGCCGAACTGCACCACTGCATAAATATAGCTGACTATTTAAAGACGCTCCCTAACTTACTGACACAAAAACAGCACAAGTCACTGTAAGCCGAAAGCAACGCATGGCACTGCGGATGCTTAACGTCTTAGCAGATGCTGCTTAACTAGATTTATGTCTAGTTAAGATATAAAGAAAATCAGTTTTATGACAAGACCAAATTTCACATTCAACTCTTTAGAAAGTCACCTTGGACATTGATAAAATTGATTAATGGCTCAAAAAAAGCTATTTACACTACCTTACAAAAGTTTGGGTCGGTAACATTTTTAATGTTTGGGAAAGAAGTCTCTTCTGCTCACCAAGACTGCATTTATTTGATCAAAATACAGTAAAAACAGTAATATTGTGAAACATTATTAAAATTTAAAATAATTATTTTCTATTTGAATATCTTATAAAATGTAATTTATTCCTGTGATGCTGTATTTTCAGCATCATTACTTCAGTCTTCAGTGTCACATGATCTTCAGAAATCATTCTAATATGCTGATTTGCTGCTCAAGAAACATTTCTGATTATTATCAATGTTGAAAACAGTTGAGCTGCTTCATATTTTTGTGGAAACCGTGATACATTTTATTTTTCAGGATTCTTTGATGAACAGAAAGAAAGAACAACATTTATGTGAAATAAGTTTTTTTTTTTACATTAAAAATGTCTTTACTGTCACGTTTGATCATTTTAATGTGTCCTTGATGAATAAATGTATTAATTTCTTTCTAATTTCCCTAAACTTTTTAATGGTAGTGTAAATAATTTAGTTTAAAATATTTTTAAGCTAAATATTTTTTATAAATATAAATATAAATATAAAATTAAATAATTGTTCTGTAATTTTTTTTAATGCAGTTAAAAATTCAATTTTATTAAAAAGTAACTATTCCACATATATATTAGTTTGTGCTTATATGTGACTCATGAACGAGTGAGTGACCATTAATAGAGTTGATGTGATGTAGAGCGTTTTTTAGTTTAGTCACTTATGAGTTTCCATGTCTGTTGGGATGCTGTCTGAGAAGGTAGCTGCCTATGTAGACAGCAGTCCGGTTTTGCAACAGGTTTGAGGTGCTGTACTGTCTGTCACAGGTGATTCTGCTGTGATGTCAGGTTTGTTTCTGTACCCTGGTGACGTGACTCCTCATTTCAGCGCGCTGTATCTCCCACGCCGCTCTCTCGTTGGCTAACGTCTGCTGCAGCTGCCAGCGCCGCTGTGCCTCCTCGCGGAGCTCCGCCCTGAACTCCTCCAGCAGGGAGCGCAGCGCGTGCAGCACATGCCGACTGTCCCCTGCCTGCACACATAGAGGACAGTGTTATTGCTCAGAGATTGCTCTGTTGTAGCTTAATGGAGTTCTCAGTTTAAGTATCAACTTCGTCTCAGATGTTTCTCCTGCTATTCTTTAGGAAAACGACACAAATGAGTCACTAGTTTTTATCTAGTAAGAGTGTAGTGCTATAAAATGAATGTGAACAGCAGCTCAGATCATTAATGAGAAATGTTTAAGTTTACACTGCGATCTCTGACTTCTGATCGCAGACTTTTGTATCTTGAGCAGATCTTTTCTGAAACCCTACTCTCCCACATGTGAGTAAAAATCAGTGTTGGCTAGTATATGTCAACTAGTATACTAATTCTAACAATGCCAGAGAATGCACTATGGTTTAGCACGATTATCAAAGACTGTGTTGCAATCATATAAATATATAATCTGACGTGCTGTGTGCGGCTCCACATGAACTCTATCTCTGCAAGTGCTGTGAGTTTGATTCACTTATAATGTGCATTTGTAAATGCAAAAAAAAAGCAAACAAATTAACCATAAATATCTGTATTGTAATTGTACTTTTGTTATATAAAATAATAATAATTATAATTTGTGCTGAGAAAGATATGAGAAGCAGGACTTTGTCATCTATTTAGTCTGTCTAGTCTCTGTTGATCTTATATAGGAGAAATAAGTGATATTTTGCAAAGATCTCATCTGTGACTTTTCTTTTCTGCATGTGAGGGACCGTAAAATGCATTTCTAAGAAAGAACTGATTAGTTGTGGGTTTGTATTATTAATTGGGTAGATGTGGGAGAGAGTTAATCATGACACAATAACTCAGTCTCTCTTATGCCGAGTTCACACTGCACGATTTTCAAACTCGTCGGATCGCCGTTGTTTTCACACTGCGTGACTATCTGGGGTAGCATTCAGTCGCTGCTGTGTTCACACTGCACGATGGATCGGCGACGGGGGGTTTCACATTGCATGACTTCACAATAGGAAGAATCGCCGACAGCTCTGTCTGGTGCAGGGTTGCCAGGTTTTCGCTACAAAACCCGCCCAATTACTACTCAAAACTAGCCTGAAAATAGCCCAATTGCTTTCGAGGGGGTCCCCCCCAGTAAAAATCGCGTTCGGGGGGCAAAATACAAATTTTTTTGGTGGGGTTCTCCTGGTACAATTCACATTCCAGAGCCTAAATATCACCTTATTGGGGTCGCTTCAAACTGCTGACATAAAAAACAACCGGCGGCAATCGCGGATTTGGCAACACTGGTCCCACATCGCTTCACTTCAGGAGGCCTTTATTAACCCCTTGGAGCTGTGTGGATTACTTTTTATGATGGATGGATGCAGTTTATTTTGCTTCAAAATCTCAACACCCATTCACTGCCATTTTAAAGCTGGGAAGAGTCAGGACATTTTTTTTTATATAACTGCGATTGAATTCGTCTGGAAGAGGAAAGTCATATACACCTAGGATGGCTTGAGGGTGAGTAAATCATGGGGTAATTTTCATTTTTGGGTGAACTATCCCTTTAAGTGTGCAATTTCTAAACAAAATAGCAAACAAACTCAAATCCCAAATTCACCATTTATTGAAATAATGTTATATTCAGCTCTGTCCGGCTAAACAAACATTGCATTTCAATTAGTGAAGCCAGTGGAGCAGAAATAACAGGAATGTCCTGTGAGAGATGGTTCAATAAACCAACCTTACTAATCTCACTAAGGAACATATCTTCCCTCAGTAGTATGTAAGCTTCATCAGCACAGCAGAAATTCACAGCATCAGTGGAGCCAGCGGCATTTGCTTTGAGAGTGCATGTTCAGCACAAATGACTTATTCTACTGAAATTCATTCAAAACCATGTGTACACTGAGAAAAGGCCACATCCTTATAAACAAGAGTATGTGTCAGCCTTTAATGATTTGTAAAACTAAAGCATTTACAAACTCCTGCACTTTTTTATTATTTATATTATTACTTTTATTACATGATTAAATAATAGACTAGAGCTGAGAGAAGGTTTACTGCTTTATATGGAGCAAACAGGCACTGCTGCTGAAACATTTACACTGATTTAATATTTACCACAGAACACAGAGGAGAGAGATTTTAAGGTGAACAATCAAAAGCACAGATTTAGTTTTTTTTTCTATAGTTTGTTTAATATACAAAAGGATGAATATGATTAACAACAATCTCGCATCCTAAATCATGCCTTAACACTGAGGATTATTACAGTACTTCTCGTGTTATTGCCTGCTTCAGATTAATCACTTCTTGTATTACTCATTTATATATGGATAAAAGCATCTGCTAAATGAATAAATGTAAATGTATTGTATATTGTATATATGTAAAGTATATTTTTACATTTTCGATGGATATGTTGCTGTGGTATTTAAAAAAATAAATAAATAAAATGCATAACTGAGTGAATCCCTGTGACATTATTTTCATTACAAAATATGTTGCTGTGGTATTTTACCTGTTTCTGGTACTGGAATCTCTCCGGTGACTGCAGGAGGGGGCCAGGCTCTGTGTGGTCACTTCCTATGATTTGGGCGCACACTTTGTCTTCACCCTCCGTCTCTCCATCGCCCTGGTCGATCATAATGCCCAGTTCTGGAATGTTCTCCAATCGTTCATACTGAAGAAACAAATAAGAGGGTAAGCAGAGAAAATGTTTACAGTTAACCCCTTAGCATTCCTGTAAAATTCCCTGAAATGCCTAAAACACGCAGTGTACCGCGGGTACAGTGGAACGCTAACAGGTTAAAGTTTAATCAAAACTTAATCAAATTAAATAAAAATAAATAAATAAATATATTTTTTAAATAAAACAAAAAATAAATTTAAAGGGGTCATATGATGTTGCTAAAAAGAACATTATTTTGTGTATTTGGTGTAATGAAATGTGTTTATGCGGTTTAAGGTTCAAAAAACACATTATTTTCCACATACTGTACATTATTGTTTCTCCTCTATGCCCTGCCTTTCTGAAACGCGTCGATTTTTACAAAGCTCATCGGTCTGAAAAGCAAGGTGCGCTCTGATTGGCCAGCGATCCAGTGCGTTGTGATTGGCCGAATGCCTCAAGCTTGTGACGCAGTGTTGCCAAGTTGGCGGTTTTCCCGCGGAATTGGGTTACTTTAAAACTGTTGCGCAGTGGGTTGTTTTTCATGTCCGCGGGTTGAGCGACCCCAATAGCGTGATATTTAGCCCCTAAAATCCGAATTTTACCAGGGGAACCCCGCCAAAAAACGTGTATTTTATCCCCCGGAACACAATTTTTATCGGGGGACCCCTCGAAACGCGATTTTTTGTTTTTACATTTATTCATTTACTATTTACAAATTTTTTTTTGAACCTGTGATTTGTACTGGATTATGCATTAATTATGCAAAAGTAGGTACTGATGTAATTTAATGTATGTATTTATATTTATGCGTTTAGCAGATGCAAAGCAACTTAAATTGCATTCAAGGTATACATTTGATCAGTTTGTGCATTCCCTGGGAATCGATCCCATCATCTCGGCGTTACTAGTGCCATGCTTTCCTGTTACAGGAACGATGATGTATTGATATGCAGTAAAATAATTTCAGTCTGACTAATATTTCTGCACTGGAAGTGTTTCTGAGCCTCACTGTTAAATTTTGTTGTGCTTCAGAAAACTAACATTTGTTTACAGCAGAACACAGCAGCTGTTGCAGATATGACAGATGGACTGTGAAATGAAAAATCATACAACATGTGCTCACACTGTTCCAATGCTGAACTGTTATGGTTCGTCAGACGACCAACTGCCACGAAAGAGACAAATACATCTAAAAAAAGCAGTGACACAGGTCTACAAGAACTCATCAGAAATGCAAACTTTACATCATGCATGTTTTACATTTTGCATCTCAGAAAGTTTATTATTTCTGGTTTCAGTCAGTTAAAGTTTCATTAAAAAACAAAACTAAGTAAAAAAAAAAAAAAAACTAAATATTTGATATAAAACTAAAACTAACTGAAACAAACAAACAAAAAATTCTAACAACATTAATTTATTTTATTATTTTTTAGTTTCAGTTGGTTTTAGTTTTATATAAAAATATTTAGTTGTTTTATTTTTATTATTATTTATTTATATGCAAAATGCATTCATGTATCTGTAATTACATACAATAAAGTACATCAGTACTTTAGCATGATTAATGCATAATCCAGAAATAATCACAGGTGTATAATAATAATAATAATAATAAAAGTAAAATAAAGCATGTGGTAAATGACCAAATGTAATGTTACACTGATATTTTTATTGAGTTTGTATAGATGCAATGGGTCAATCTCATAAAAACTGTCAGGAAATGTCCTGGTCATCTAGTCAACTAGGCTAGTTATTCTGGATCAGCTCACCTCAGCATGCGCTCCCTCCTCCAGTGCGTCCGTCCTGCGGCCGAGCCTCCAGTGCATCAGGATCCAGCGCAGCTTCATGTAGACAATGACCATGTTGTGGTGGAACAACCTCACTTCCTGTTGCAGCAGGACTCTTTCCTGTGGCCACGTTGGCTCATGAGATTGAAGTCCCTGCAGCTCGAGTCCTCGCCGGGCCTCGGCTCTCCTCCTCTCCTCCTCCTGCACAAGCCAAAACATTCAAAATAGACAAGAGAGACAAGAGTTATACTTGTTATTATTATGACATAAAACAGATGCATGCTTGCATAGAGAGCAATAAGTCTAATAAGTCTCTGTGTTTAAATGAGGCGTTTTAGGAGGGCGTGGACGAGTCTTAACTTTTATAAAGAATATCTCTTTGGATTTGAGACTTTAGTCTTTGCAACTTTAGGGATCTTATCTATTCACGAACAGCTTGTAACACGCATCATATGACCCCTTTAAACAAAACAACAAAAAAAACATAATAAAAAAATATAATAAAAAAATAAAATAAAATCATGCATATCTGGTTAAATCCATGTGACATTATATTCATTACAAAATTTTGATGGTCCTAAAACAGGTTTCAAACATACTTACTTTCTTCTTTCTTTGTTTTGGGTTAAATTCTGACCTGACAGATGACCAAGACATTTTTATGAGATTCACCCATTGTGTCTATAAAAACAACGATTTAAAAAATAATGTAATATTAAATGTATTAAGGCGATTTTTTGTTTTTACATTTATTCATTTACTATTTACAATTTTTTTTTTGAACCTGTGATTTGTACTGGATTATGCATTAATTATGCAAAAGAAGGTACTGATGTAATTTAATGTATGTATTTATATTTATGCGTTTAGCAGATGCAAAGCAACTTAAATTGCATTCAAGGTATACATTTGATCAGTTTGTGCATTCCCTGGGAATCGATCCCATCATCTCGGCGTTACTAGTGCCATGCTTTCCTGTTACAGGAACGATGATGTATTGATATGCAGTAAAATAATTTCAGTCTGACTAATATTTCTGCACTGGAAGTGTTTCTGAGCCTCACTGTTAAATTTTGTTGTGCTTCAGAAAACTAACATTTGTTTACAGCAGAACACAGCAGCTGTTGCAGATATGACAGATGGACTGTGAAATGAAAAATCATACAACATGTGCTCACACTGTTCCAATGCTGAACTGTTATGGTTCGTCAGACGACCAACTGCCACGAAAGAGACAAATACATCTAAAAAAAGCAGTGACACAGGTCTACAAGAACTCATCAGAAATGCAAACTTTACATCATGCATGTTTTACATTTTGCATCTCAGAAAGTTTATTATTTCTGGTTTCAGTCAGTTAAAGTTTCATTAAAAAACAAAACTAAGTAAAAAAAAAAAAAAAACTAAATATTTGATATAAAACTAAAACTAACTGAAACAAACAAACAAAAAATTCTAATAACATTAATTTATTTTATTATTTTTTAGTTTCAGTTGGTTTTAGTTTTATATAAAAATATTTAGTTGTTTTATTTTTATTATTATTTATTTATATGCAAAATGCATTCATGTATCTGTAATTACATACAATAAAGTACATCAGTACTTTAGCATGATTAATGCATAATCCAGAAATAATCACAGGTGTATAATAATAATAATAATAATAAAAGTAAAATAAAGCATGTGGTAAATGACCAAATGTAATGTTACACTGATATTTTTATTGAGTTTGTATAGATGCAATGGGTCAATCTCATAAAAACTGTCAGGAAATGTCCTGGTCATCTAGTCAACTAGGCTAGTTATTCTGGATCAGCTCACCTCAGCATGCGCTCCCTCCTCCAGTGCGTCCGTCCTGCGGCCGAGCCTCCAGTGCATCAGGATCCAGCGCAGCTTCATGTAGACAATGACCATGTTGTGGTGGAACAACCTCACTTCCTGTTGCAGCAGGACTCTTTCCTGTGGCCACGTTGGCTCATGAGATTGAAGTCCCTGCAGCTCGAGTCCTCGCCGGGCCTCGGCTCTCCTCCTCTCCTCCTCCTGCACAAGCCAAAACATTCAAAATAGACAAGAGTTATGGTTAATATACTTGTTATTATTATGACATAAAACAGATGCATGCTTGCATAGAGAGCAATAAGTCTCTGAAAGTTCATGTGGGGGTTTTAAGGCAAGTGGAAAAGTAAATCTACTAGAAAACCCATCTAAAAACACTTTTTATTGTGCAGTTTGCTAGCTGGTCTAAGCTGGTTTAGGTGGATAATTAGCCAGACTACAAGTTAGTGGGGACCTGGCTAGGCTGGTAGGATCTTGGACCAGCAATAACTAGTTCTAAAATAAGACTAACATAAGAATAACTTTGATATTGTTAGTAATATTTCAAGACGAACACGTACTGTACTGAAACAACATAGATTTACTTGAATGTTCAAATGTGAGTATCAAATATGATCATCAAACTTTTGGGGAGCGTTTATTTGTTAATCTCTCAATTATCATTGTATTGCATTGCATTATATGTTTTGATCATCAAACTCAGCATTTAAATATCATCTTAAAAAGACATATTATTGAGACACAAAGAGTGACAATTGATATTTATGTGCATTTTATGTAAGTTGTCTGTTATAAAGATCTCATTGATTTACATTACAAGCATCAGAATTTCATCACTTAGCGATATAAATATCAGGATCTGCACTAAATTGCATATTTTTGCTCAATTTGGGCCTCGGAATAAAACTGAGCTGGTTTTCCTCCATATTCTCACTATATCAAACTATGAACCATAAAAGCCTGATATATCAAATAGGATACTCAACAAAAACATATGCAAACTTTTTTTTTTTTTTCAAAAAAGTACGGTTCAATAAACTGTTCCATTTAAAAAAAAATATTTTTTTGACTATTATTTCACATGTCAGGCTTTACATGGTTAAGCTGGTATGACTGGTATGTGGATACACAGACTAGTCAACTAGTTATACTGTACTTCTAGTCTATGTTTTGGGTCTGTAGTGCTGTACTCTTGATATATTGTCTATCTATCCATGGCAAACTACTATTTTCACATCAGTTTTATATGTGAGGAGTCTTTGAATTGATGACTTGCAGGTCTGATCCTGTTTCTAAAAGTAAACCATGTCAAGTCACATTTATTTCTATAGCGCTTTATACAATTACAGATTGTTTCAAAGCAGCTTCACTGAGATTTTTAATGTTGCAAATTTCTTCAATTATGAGATCAATACAATTTCAGCTGTAAAGCAGCTCTAGAGAAGATAGAGCTCAAGTCAGTTCAGCTTTGGTTCAGTTCAGTTCAGTAATGCATGATGCAAAACAGCAGGTACCTGAGTGATGGATGATGTGCAGCTGTCTTTCTCCTCCGCTCCAGCTCTCATCCTCCTGTCGTGCTCCAGGCGGAGCTGTATTTCTCTGGTAGGCGTTCCCATCTCGGGCAGGACCGGGTCACGGAACTGGACCCCATCAGAACACAGAACACCAGTCTCAAAATCCCAGCACTTTCGAGAGAAACACCATCAGTTTTCATGCATAAACACGCCTGTGTCATGTGGCAAGGCAGATGTGGGGTGACATTTTCAGTATCTTCTCATTCAAGATTCGCTACCTTTACATGGATGGTTAGGCAGGACAATATTAAACTGCATTCCAAGTTGCATTCTTAATGGAACAGTTTCCTATAATAAACTCTCTGGATCTCTGGTGATAAATGCAAGAGAATTAATTCAGTCAGCCAAAGGAAGATTCTCCATGAAATAAGCTCATAATCAATTTAGATTCATCTCTACTCTGAAGAAATAGGTTAGCAGCACATAAAGCATACACTCTAAAAAATGCTGGGTTAAAAAGGGACAAACCCAGCAATTGGGTTGTTTTGACCCAGTGGTTGGGTTGTTTTGAACCGCTGGGTCAAAACAACCCAACCGCTGGGTCAAAACAACCCAATAGCTGGGTCAAAACAACCCAATAGCTGGGTTTGTCCCTTTTTAACCCAGCGCTGGGTTAT